ATTCTGCATTAGGCAGCGCTAGAGCGATGTGGCTTCCATTAGCTTTCACTTGCGCAAGGCTCATGTAACATGCAGAATGGGCACATTATGTATGACGTGGCCTTAAGGCGATATTTGATTTGTGGATCAAATATTTCACGCCAATGTGGCTCAACAGTTTCCACATCGATTCATCGTCCTCCAAGCCGAAACACTTGACACGAACCTCAAAGCAGTCGCCGACTGCTCGCACGTCTTCCAAACACTCCACATGGAACCCACCTTCACCGATAGCAAACTGCTCGACCAGATAGTTTTGGATTTCACTGCCGTTGTTGAAATGGACACCGCCATTCGTCACCAACGCATCCGCACACCCGTATGAGGAAAACCACGCCATCAATTATTCTGTCGTCGTGGCGGAGTCTGTCGTCTCGGCGGCGTGTAATGGACGAAACCACTCATGTCATCCTTGATACCAAGACCTGCTTGAGCCCGTCAGTCGATAGTGGCATGCATAGCCAGTCAAAATTAATAAGCTCGTTATGCTTCTCTGCGTGTAGCGCTGACCCAAGTTGATGCGGTACCATCTCACCGTCAATTTGGAGACAGTGCAGACAGCCACGGACGAACGTTTCCACCTCTTGGGACAGTGTACTCCACACAAACTGTTCCGCCACCGACTGCGTTATCACGACTACATGCCGGTGACCTGCCACGCCTTGGTTCGCGATGACACAAAATGGTTGATGATGATCAATGTCTTCAACGGGAACCTATACGCAACTTGTCATTATATACCACACCATCTGGGGTGGTCCCCTCCCCTTCCAACTCTGAGTGTTGAGACCCCAGAATAGACGCCGTAGGCCACTGAAAATCGACCTGCTGGAGAGGTGAAACGACGTGCACCAGCTGGCGCACCTGCGCGTTGACGGGCCCAACAGGGTTCGAGCCCCAACGATTTAGGATGTCTTCTCACACATTGGCCTCACCAGGGAGGCGCTGGATCGTGAAGGGGAAAGTGGACATACCAGTGTCCATCGCTGGAGCTTGTCCGCTTGGGATTTTGTCAGATTACCGTTGGAACCATGCTGGTTGAACTTAAAACCAAATTGAGGTGATCGGTAAACAAACGAAATCCACCCAGCCGCAAGATTATGTAATCCGAGTGCTTACATGTTTCGAGGACAGCAAACGCCTCCTTTTCCACAATTGGCCAACGCGCTGGCACCAGTGAACGACCGTTGAGGAAGGCGAGTGGCTAGTGCCGCTGCTCCTCCAGGGGCAAATTCAATTCATCCAAAGGCACTTGAGTAGCCAACGCACCACAGGACTTAGCGCTTGCGTCTGTGAAGATGCACACCTCCAGATCATCCTGGGGATGGGACGACTGAGTCGGCTGGATCAGGGTAACAAATTGAGGCGCATCGTTTGGGCTTCATGAAGGTCCAAAGTAAAGTTTGTTGAGCGTGATCGCCCTTCTAGATGTGGTCAACAAAGGCTTGCTGATATTGCTATCTGATGGTACTGCTGCTGCTGTACCATCAGGGCCGCTACGAGCTTTTCGAAAGTGGACTGATCCTCGACTCCAACTATGGATTTACGCTGGTGGGTTTTCGGCGACTGAGGAGGCATGTGCGATGACGAAAGTGTGGACGATCGAGGTCGACTCCAATCGCACCATGCGCGGGAAATTCGGTGGGTTGTCCAGGCGAATTTGCCGTGATCGAAGCAGCTTCATGCAATTCGAAATCGACAGGGTCATTATCGGTGTTTTCCTGACAGGCTTCGCCTCGAGAGTGTCGCACGCCTCTTTGGTAGATCGTCACACTTTGAAGAGTCGGGATATCGATCTCGTTCAAGATTCTTTGGAGTCGAATAGCGTTTGCCCGAACGGATTTGCCTTCATACCGATGGGGCTCTTCGAAGAAAGAGTCGTTTGGTCCAAGAGTGGCTTGATAAGGAATTTGCATTGAGCTTGGTCGTCGACGTGGGAACTGAGGTGTACATCAACGGCGAGTCCAAACTATTTCGAGTGTTCGGAGGACAGTACCGCGTGCTTAACGTCCTCGAGCTCAGTCGTCATCTTAGACATGGCTGACTTGAGATGCGCGATGAGGATTGGGAGGTCGTCGGATTGATGAGGCTGGGGACTTGCGGCTGGTGTTGTTCGGGCAGTATCGGCAGAGGAGACTTTGGACTCCAGTTTGCCGAGTCGGGCTGCAAAGTCGAGTTGTTGCAGATCGATCCGGGTCTCGAGCAGCTGGATTCGGTCCTGGAGTGACCCTTCTCGTTCAAGAGGGCGGCAGCAAGCTCTTGGAGTTGGATGTTATAGCACTGGAGGGTTGTGACCTCTCGGTGAGATTCGTCGACTTGTAGCTTCTGGTTCGAGGCGCTTTGATTGCGGTCGATTCCGAGTAATTCAACGCGGTCGCAGAAACTGGAAAGTGTGGTCGAGATATTAGCTTCCTGGGCTTGGAACCGCTCTCGAGTTGTTGTTGCAAGGAGTGCGCCGAACCGGTAATTACAAACTTTTGCGAGTTCACTTCAGTTTCAACCAGATCGCGAGTCGTTTCGCGGTCACAAAGCTGTTGAACGCTACAGCGAAGTCAGACCTTCATTCTCACGATATTGCTGGCGAAGTTGAATCACATCCTTTTGCAAGTTCGACATCTGCGTGGTGAGTTCTGTGCGGGTTGAATGCAGGTCGCCATTCAAGAAACTTGTCCTTTCAATAATAAGACGGATAGAGTCCGACTAGCCCACCGACATGAGGTCCTCGTTGGCCTTGAGGCGACGAGCAAAGTCTGTTGTCTGCTCAGCAGTCGAGGTACGCAAGGACGAGAGTTGGTCAGCAGGTTCGCGAGCGAGGTTTGAGATCTCGTGCTCGCGCTTCATGGTCCAGTTTTGTAACGCCTGGATGCGATCGGAGATAACCGGCGTAATGGTGATCAACGGTGAGATAGATGCTCTTCCTCAACTTCCAAATCGTCCGTTTCATTATTCGACAGGGTGTGATGTCGCCATTCTTCGAGTCGGCCCATGCTAACATCGTTAGTAGGAGCGTCAACAGGTAAGCCCAAAGCACGCAAGGTGCCTCCCTCCATTGTTCGATCGGTGACTGTAACAAGTTGAGAGCTCGGACTAGCTTCGCAAGAAATAACAGGTGGAGCATGCGGAGCCTCAAGGCGGGCTACGCCTCCCACAAAAACGCTGCTCAAGTGAAGGTCAAACCGGGAGTCAGGCGTCGTAAGGGCCAGGTCAGTCGGGACAACTGGCGAGGCTGTCGGTGCCTCCAGGCTTGGGGTCAAATGTTGGCTCCCATGTGGGCAGTCGAAGGGTACAACACTCGAGAGAGTTCACTCTTCGACGCCAGGTGCCTCCAACAGATCGACACCACCTCGGGTCAATATACACGTCTGCGGTACGAAAGGAGTCAGCGTTGTACGGTGACCGGCGGTGTGAGTCCAAGTATGAGCGACGAGCTGCATCTTGTGGTCGGGAAGTTCTTCGGCTGGACGACGGGCCATAGCCCTTGTATCCTAAGGTACAACAAGAAGGAGTCGGATGCAGTCCACAATCCCCGGTCTTGTTCGTAGACGTCATCAATCCAGGCTCGAACACGGTTGCCAATGGGTAATCCATGTCCAAATCATGCCCGGTAATCGAGGTTGATGTCGTAACGGAGGCCGATACTTCGTCTAAGTCAAAGTTGAGAGTCTCGTCGAAGAATTGTTTGTCGTCCGAGAGCGCGGAAGTGCTTGCCTCGTCGTCTGGGTAACGAGGTTTGATATCTTCTAATAGGCTACGAGCCTACCCATACGACGAGGCAAGCACTTACGTATGCGAAATCTGTACCCCTAAAGGTTAACGTGACACACGCTTATATATTTATATATAGGCATCGTGGCTCAAGAGATCCATCGTAGTCGTTGATCGAGTGATCTATTCGGTGAGGTAGAGTCCGAATATAACGGGTCCTCGATCCATTCTTGGATGAGGAACGTGTCGGTTCCCCCTTGCTTAGCGCGACGCGCTTTTGGTGTTCGCGCTGCTTGGGCGAGTTGGCGTGATAATGGACTCGGTAATTCAAGTCTCGTTTGAGCTGCTGCGCGCGTCGAGTCCCCGCCAGCGTCACTGACGTCCATCGTCGTCAGCTCAATTCGTCCCGTAGTTTTCACACAGCCGTATTTCTTCCGAATGCTTGATTCGGCCGGAGATTACCCAACATCTCCACCACATTTGTGACGGTCACGGGAAAAGTCCCTAGCGCACAAACTAATAAGGAAGTTCAGAGCGATGAATTTCAGGGCCGGATATTCTCGGCTTTACCAAGCGTAATGCATATTCGGATTCGCTTTACCAAGTTCCAGAGATGCCTCATCAATCAATCACTCAATTGCCAAATTAATCGATCAACTAACTGCAATATCCAACAGTCACTTACAGTTAACAGTCTGCGAAGGCACCCGGGGGACCAAGGTTAGGGTTATGTGAATATATTCCTTTTGACAGTAGTCCACTTGGTTCTCAGTTACACCACAATACACGAACATAATACCTTCCGATAATTAGTGTTATGCATTTATAGAGGGTATTATTTGTCGTTGTGGAAATCGCATTGACAGCAGTGACGGCGGTCGAGGCCATTGTCGAAGCGCCTCCTCTCGTACGCTTCTTGGACGTTTTATTTGCCATATCTACTGCACGAGCATGAATCGCATCTTGGGGCGTTTCCAGTCCCGACCCCGGCACCCACTGTAACAGTTCTACTGTACAGTTATCCGTACACTTGTCAAAGATCTTCATTGATATTGAAGATGACCATCCAAAGGTTGCAGGCGACCTCACAAGTCGCCTGTGTTGCTAGCGACTCCTCCCATGAGTCGCCTTAACTTTCCATGTTCATGTAGCAGAGCTAGATAGCATAACCCTGCCAATTCATTCTTCATTTTACCTACTACTTCTATTGCGTGTGCCCTGCTAACCTGGTAGCACTACAAATTCGCCCAAGGACCATGACAGCTTCCCACCAAGCCGTATACGACCGCATGGTCGACATCCTCGGCGAAGGCGACACCCAGTCGATCTTGTCCCCCCTCTCCGTCGATGCCCGAGCGCGACTTCTTGAGGGCATCGGCATCACCCTCAACGCAACGACACAACCCCTCGAAGCTCGGATCAGCCAGCTGACCGAGGAAGGTCGAGCCCTCGAAGAATCGCTCCACCAGAGCGAGGGCCAAGCCGTAGCAATGCGCTAACATGGTGTCGCCGTGCAAGCCGAGGTCGCACAACTTCGCGACCGAAGTTCGACACTGGAATCCTCTGTGTCCCAGCTGCGCCAGTCTCTTCAAGACGCGCAGGCACAGACCCTCCGCGCGTACCAAGAGGCTGCGACTGCAAACAGCCAGCCCCAACAATCGTCCCCTCCGGGTGTCAAGCCAGTGAAGCTTGATGTCACCAAATTCGACTCCGACGCCGGCAAGCTCCTCCGGTGGA